AGGAAAGGAAAGGAAAGGAAAGGAAAGGAAAGGAAAGGAAAGGAAAGGAAAGGAAAGATTTATTGTATGTTTGTGAAACTAAGAAAAAGGGGATGGATGTAAGAGATCTGAATGAAGATGGTATGACCTTATTGAGTGGACTTGAATGTATTTGTGAAAGCGAATGTATAGGTTTAATTATGACTGAAAGGGCTAAAATGTATGTCAGAAAGTATGATTTCATATCATTCAGATTGTTCTGGTACATATGAAAGTAGAAACTCATAGATTGGTAATAATTGTATGTTTATGTTCCAGGTAAGAGTAATCATGGAAAAATAGATGAGTTTGGGGAAAAATTACACCACAGTCTGAATGAATGAAATACAGAGGACAAAGTTGTTGTGCTAGGTGACATGAATGCATGGGTGGGGACAAGATGAAAGAGTACAGAAAAAGTTCCTAGGTCAGAGACCCAAGAACAAATGAGAATGAAGATTGCTTAGAAAATTACAATTTGTTTTAAATATGCAATTTAAACTAAGTCAATATGTACACATAACAAAGAAATTAATATAAATCCAAAAGCATGACTGAGTTGATTGTTTATGACGACTGAAATAATTAGTGAAGGATTCAAGGAGGATGAGATATTCTGAATGTGAGACAGCCCATTATTAGGTGGTGGCAAGAATGGAACTTGGGGAAAAAGTAGACATGGAAGAAAAGGAAAGACATGAAAAAACATGTCCCTGTTGCACGGAATGTTTTTAAATGAAGTAAGAAGAAGTGTGGTTCTGCCAATTTTGATATATGGAAGTGACTTTTGGGTATCTCAGGAGAAAAGAAACATCTGAATACAGTGGGAATGGAGTACTATGTGTGGTAAACCAAGAAGAGATAGGATCAAAAAGAACGGACAGATGAATAATGATAAATGTGGACAAAATACACAAGTAAGTGGTAGTATGAAAGAAGAATACTGACATGGCTTGGTTATACAGAGAAAATGAGGATCAAATTGCAAAACAAATATGTGAAGAAAGAGTGAATGGTTTGAGAGAAAAGTCACGATTGGGTGGAACTGAGGAGATTCTCAAAATCTTCTGTTTAAAGAACAAAAGGCAATGTATGAATCAGTGTATGGATGTGGTGGAAGCAAGGATGATTTACAAAGATAGAAAAGTACGGAGAGACATAACAATTTTTTTTGTCTTTTGTTATTATCTTATCTCCTGCCATTAATTTATTTTGCTCATCATTTCTCACTCTTTTTCTGCATTTTGCATAAATATTTTGCATATTCCTAAAAATGAATAGCATGATGGGGATATATGAATATATGCTTGTAATGCAGGCATGCTTCAGCTACAGGAAAATATGTTCAGGACCAAACATATGGAAGTCCTTGACTGGATCTTTCAGTTTTGTATATTATACTGAAATAAGTCTGCTGCAAAGTTGCAAATTTGTTCAAAGTATTGGTGTGATTGACACTTTCTGCTCTATACCATTTTCCTAATCAAAATAATTCTCACCTAGCTACTGTTTTCCTTGCAGGTGGAAAATGCACATCAAATTGTTATATATCTAACAGTGATTATGTTTATAAGCACAATACACAAGTTTTTGAATGGAAAAATGGAGGGGGAGGTTTAGTTGTATTTCTGGAAAAAAAATGATATTGTTAGACACCAAAAAAGAGATTAGGTACAATAAGCAATTCATTTTCAAATTGTAATTTCCATGTGTGAAATGAAGCAAAGTATAGCAGCTTCACCACAGATTAGAAAAAATGTCCAATCAGTTAATTTATTTAATCATAAGACAGGGATTTTTTCCACTCTTTCAAAACATATCAGAACATGTATGTTAGGAAGCCTGAAGTTTTAAATTAGCACAATAAATGAATGTATCTTGAGCAATAAATAAAAACTTCAGTCTGTATTATTCATTATGCTACTTTATTTTCAACCTCATTAAAATTTACATTAAATATGGTAATCTACCACTTATATAACAGATACTGTGAATGAGTTTGGGAAAATGCAAGAAAAACCAAACTAAAAACTGAAGCCAATAAAGTCTATGAAAGCATTTATATGATCTGAGACAGCCAACCTTTCTTAAAACACAGCTTGTTTTAACAGAATCAGTTAGAGCAAAGACAAATTGAAATGTAGAATAACTCCAGGAAATAAATGCTTTGAACTGCAGCAAACTAAAGTATAAGAAAAGTGTTTAAATATGCAAATGAATCATGCACTGGTATCTTGTATGATAGTTTTCTACTATCCTGTATGAAAGAGTTCCTTCTCCACTCTATTCTAGTCCAAAATAGTACAGTGGAAATCTACTAAACATGGAGCACAGACAGCTGGTTCAAATCCCCATGTAGTCGTGAAACCAGCTTGGTTATCTCAAATCAAATGCTCCCTCCTTCTAAAGTGACCCATGCTGTAGGAAGGGCTAGATACAAAATGTAAAACAATCAACTCAATCCCTCTTTCTTAAAATAACTGGAGAACATCTTTAGTAGGTAAATGCCACCTCACAAGACGAAACAAGACCACCATCTTCTGTTATATTTCTCCAGGCTTTTTTGACAGGATAACTTCATATTAAATTCTGTAATCTAACCTAATACACAGGATTCTGAACTTTTTCTTATCATATCTCCTTCCAACTGTCTGCTGAGATAGCTGGTAGCAGATTTCATGAAACCCAAATATAGCCTACTGTTATATTTTCACAGAGGAAAGCAGTTACCTGCTGGAGAAGAACTTCTCTACTACTTTCTGAATGATCCAGTTTCCTCCGGGAATGCTCCAAAACCTGTTCAAGCTTATTAGAAAAAGAAACAATTTCACTGCTAGTAATGTTTGAATTATTTAGGTATGATACTTAATATACTCCAAAGTACTTTGAAAACTTATTTCTTATGCAATGCTACATTCAATTGAAAAATGCCTTTTATCTCAGTGGTATTTTAAAGCAAATGATTTACAGATACTTGCATTTACTTTTTTTTAAATGCTATTGCATAAATAAGCTGCTAATGCATCCTTCTTCTAATGATTTTAATGCATTTTTAAAGGTGGTTTATTTCCTAGAAATCTCCTACATTTCTGCCGGGTGGGAGTGTAGGGTAGAAACAGCCAAAATTTCAACCCAGAATAGAAAAGAACATTGCATATATCTACCAACAATACAAAACAGAAAGAAAGTGCAGTGTTCTTACAAAATTACGGATATTAAAAAAAAAAATTGTTTGAGTTTGTTAGGATTGATTTTCTATGATTTTCAAGGCACAATTCAAGATGCTGAAGCTGAAGCCCTGAATATCTTGGATCATACTGTAACCATTAAGAACAAAACGTTCTCTTCCCAATATTCTCCTTTGAAGAGTGTCTGGAAATAACAGTTGGTACAACATGTGGCAGCCAGAATAATAGTGTTTGCTTTTTCTAACTATATCACTTATATTGCATTTAAACTGCTCTGGCTCACAGTTCATTTATAGATCCAGTGCAAAACACTATATATTACCAACCAGGATATCTCCCTTCCTCTTACATAAACCTGCCCATCAACTGCATTCATCTTCAGAGGCGCTACTCCAAATACCATTGCCCAAAGAGTTTGGCAGAAAGTTGAAACACAGTATTTTTCATGATGGCTGTTTGTAGTTCTCCCTAACAAGGATATTTGGTCTGTTTTCTTCCCCCAATTGTTTGCCACATTTTAATTCTTGCTTGAATTTCAATTTAAATAATTGAATTTCAATTATTTAAGTTCCCTGATTTTAATGATAATGTAACTGGCTTAAGCCAGACATAAGTTCAATTGATGTTCAAGTCATATGCAGTCTGCAGCCTACCCAACACAACTTAAGGAAGTTTCCTTGGATGAGGCCCAAAACAATGGAACCTCCTTTATTTGGAGGTATAGATAACTATCAACTTTGTTCTACTTGTACCACATTCAAAGCCTCTCACTATAGACAACAAACCAAGTTTTTAAAATTTGCAATATTTAAGATTGAAAAACCAATGAGAAAAGAAATATCTTTCTTTTGTTCTGTTTAAGGTGCCATTCACAAAGAATTTTGTGAAATAGATTTGAGAGACAATTTCATCCCGAAGCCCAATTTCTGGGTTCAAATCCCCCTTATGAGCAGAATCACATGAGGACGTGGGGGGGACAAACAGCAAGATCCACCATAATTCTGACTACGCTTCATTAGCTGATTGGTGAATATATGCCAGGGGATAATTCTTCTACTTGGAAAGATCTCCCCATGTAATTTAGAATTATGATCATCCAGAGTTCTATGGGGAGCTTACATTAGTAGAACAGATGCTCCATGACAGCATTTGCAGCAAATGCATACTATCATCATCAGGCTGCCCACATGGCTTGACATTCCAACATGCACAAAAATGCCTTCCATACACTAAACCAGCATATGATGGGGAAAGGTTCCAGATCAGTTTCCCTTTCTATATTTTGTCATCTTAATATGAAAGGCATGAACCACAACTCTCTGCCTGCTGTCAGCTGGGAAAAACTTCAAACCCTGTTTTTCTTAATCATACAGGGAAAAGACACTACAAGACACCATATCACTATGGTTAAATTTTTAAATCTTACTTTGCTTTTTTCATCTTCCATTTTTGCAATTTTATTTTTCAAGACAATCTCTGCTTCATTAGCTTTAGCATCTTGTTGCTTTAAAGCCTTGAAAGAAAAAGAGAAAGAATGTGAGGTTTGGGGGACTAATTAATTTATAAATATGCTAAAAAATATTCAGTATTTTCTGTTATGTCTGATGATATCACATGAACTTTATATATATACACTGCATACTATTCACAGATAAAAGTTAACTCTGACATCTCCTAAACTGTAAATGTCTATGGTCCAAAACTGAGCTAAACTTTACTTAAGCTGAACACTTTTTTTTTTTTTTTAAATCAGAGAGCTACAATCCAGACCAAGCAAGAAAGGTTATATTTTAAAAGAGTTCAGAAGTCACTGATTTCCCATATACAGGTGGTCCTCATTTAACGATCACTCATTCAGCAACCATTAAAACTTATGACAGTGCTGAACGAGTAATAGTTACAACCGGACCTCATGCTTATGGCCATTGCCACATCTCGCAGTCACGTGATCACAATTTGCAACCTTTCCTGCCAGCTTCCCACAAGCAAAGTCAATGGGGAAGTTGGCAGGAAGTGGGAAGTCACAGTCATGTGACATCCTTGCTTAATGACCCATGCGGTCCTCATTTAATGACAGCAAACAGCACTGCCACCACTAAGCAGTGCAGTCATGTGGTTTTTTGACTTATGACCGTGTTGCT